CACGAGGTTCGTGTCGGCCCATTTCTCCAGACTGTTGAGGTTCCTCTGGATGGCAGCACGACCCTCTGGTGTATCAGCCACTCCTCCCAGTTTTGTGTCATCAACAAACTTGCTGAGGGTACACACTGCCCCATCATCCAGGTCATTAATGAAGATATTGAACAGGACTGGACCTGCTATTGACCCCTGGGGTACACCGCTAGTCGTTGGCCTCCAACTAGACTTCATGCCACTGATCCCCACCCTCTGGGCCCAGCCGTTCAGGCAGCCTCCAATCCACCTCACTGCCTGCTCATCCAGCCTGTACAGCTTCTCTGTGAGGATCTTATGGGAGACAGTGTCAAAGGCCTTACTGAAGTCCAGGTAGACAATATCCACTGCTCTCCCCGCCCGTCTACCAGGCTAGTCATTGAATCCATGTTTTGGTGATTATTTTTTTCAGTCTCTGTTCTTGTTTTCTCGGTATAATGAATTTCTATTTTCTTCTTTTTGAAAAGTTTTCTGGGCTCAGAATAGGAACTCAATCCTCAGTATGTAGTAATACACACCACAGCAACAGAAATATTATCTCATACATAGGAATATTTATTTTTTTCCTTCTTAAAAATGTACAAAAAATAAAATAACTGTATTTACAGTTTATCAAACCCCTCTCCCAGTTGCAATACTATTAAGTTACATGAGCTATTTTCTTAATATAAAAGCACACTATTTATACATAAAGTTTGCTCGATTGCCAGAAAGAGGGCTTGTCACAAACTTTGGCACAAACATTCCTGTTTGTATCTTGTCTCAATTCATAGGAAATGGAAGAGCATATAAACATCGCATAAGCTTTACATTTTAAAAGTCATAAGATACTCCTTTCCAGTTCCATATCAATCAATATACAGCATCTCTGACAGCTGGAGAGTTTAGTTTTTACTAACTGTTTGAATTAATTTACAACATTTAAACAATCCATAGACTGAAAGAGGAAAATATACAAGAAAGACACTTGATCTCTGAATTCCATTGACCAAAAACTTCATGAGAGAGGACACACAGGAAAAAAAAGTTCTTTTCTTTGTAGTTTACATTCAGTGGTAAAAATCCTCCCAAATGTCTTGATGAGGATATCACCATACATCAACAAAGCTTCACTGCAAGGATGCACTTTATTTTGGGGATATCAGCACCTGACTGTGTAGAAAGAAACTAAAATTTGAGATTTGGGGGTTTTATAATAAAACATCAAATGGACGGACATAGTACCAAATCTGTAGCGGGAACCAAAATTAGAGCTTAGAAGACTATTCTCCTTTTGCACGTCTCTATCAGAGTCTTTCAAAACACAACATCTACAGACATTGCACTGCTCTAATTCTTCACAGGGAAAATGAGTTGAGCAGCAAGCCACCCTTCAGGCTGCACTAGCTAAGATTCAAGACTGCTGTCTTGAAGAAGGAAAGGAAATGAGAGCTTTGTTCCTTTAAATAAACCACCACAGCAGTGCCACAAAGAGACAAAAGGAGGCAAGGCAGATATTCCTGTCCCCTGCTGAACAGTAGCCAAATCTTACTTCCATTTAACTCATAATATTTGGAAGATCCAGCATTAATCAATATTTTTCATTAAACAAAAGCAACACATATATTTTAAACAATATACATGTGAGCACTTCGTACTCCTCAAGACCTTTGACTCAAGCAGGGCCTGAGGCAGGCCAGTGCTTCAGAAGTTTGCATTACTCGTACTGGCCCTTCCCCATCACTTTGATAGCCTGGTTTTGACCAACAAGGTAAACTCTGAGAGCTTGCAGCTTGCCACAACCAGCATCCAAGGTTCAATGCTCCTCCAGCAGCTGATGCTGTAACTACAACTGAAGGGGTGCAAGATGATGTGCTCTTTGCAATGTCTTAGGTGCTTGCGATGCATCTGCATCTGAAGCAGAGAAACAAAGCCCTCAGACCCTGGCAGATAAAGTTAAGGGAGATCATCCTTAACTAGCTCTAGCTGTTGTTTTAAAATAATCTTACAATCAGGGTAAATCCTACTCATCTTCCTCAACCCTGCTACCTTCATTGAGACTATAAGAATGAACCAAAGGCAGGAGTATCAGCTCTCTTATATCAGGAACTCGCACACTTTAGGATGTATTTAGAAAAGCTTTCAGTTAACCTTGGAAGCAACTTTCCTTCCCTGGACAGTGCCTGACCGAAAGCTCCTAAAATGGCAATGGAAAGACAGCTCCTTAAGCCCCAGTATTTCCTGGAGCATTGCACTTCTCGCTGATCCTACACTGCTCCTCGGTGCAGGATGCTGCAGCATCCAATAGATCTCAGCTCATCTCCACCCATGTGTAAGACAAGGATGTCCCATTAACCTGAGTGCTGGTGCTGCCACGATAGCCCTGTCCTTCTCTGTGAACCCCAAATTCTCACTGTCCTCTCTTAACGCAGCACATCCCAACCCGGGCCAGCCCCAGGCGCCACAGGCATTCCCTATAAGTAAGAGAGCTTGGATGGCAGGTTTGTTGGGGGCAGAACCAGGGCTCAACTCCTGCGTACATTTACTCCTATGCTTCACCTGCAGCTTCTGCCCAGACATCATGACCAACTGAGAGATAGATCCCAGCTAATATCCTTAGGATCCCAAACACCATCAAACAACAGAGAAATACGAGAACTAACACCACTGCTTACCAGTACTGTGTGCTGGTCCCAGTTCCTAATGCCACCTGCCAAAACTGTCCTCTTTTTTTCTTTAGGAAAAAAGTAGCTGGGCTAAGTCAGCACAGACTTTTTATCTGAGCCTGAGCCAAGCAGAAACAAACTGAACCACCATAAATCCCTTGTATTCCCAGGATGTCTGCTCTTGAGCAGGGTAGCAGGAGCATCTTTGCTTGAGTACGTATTTATAAAAAAGATAACGGAATTACTACAAAACTCTGCATCAGAAGGAGAAAGAGCACATGACAAAGGAAGAGGGAGGGAGGAAGACAGAACAGACATTTTGCTTTGCAGACACATGTGGATTTTGGGTATGTTAGGCCTGACACTAACAGCCTGAACCTTTTATAGGTTCTGGTCCCACAGAAACTTTGACAGGTACCTAACATTTGTATTTGAAGTACAGATTTTAATGGGATGCTATTGCTAATGAAGTTAAGAAAGCGTGAAAGAGCTTGCAGGACAATTCATGCAAAAACATGACCAAATCAGACTGGTCAGCTATCCCAGCTACTTTGCTTGAATGTAAATAGCTCCACACAGCTCAAAACACTACAGAACGAGCCCTGTTAAACTAGGCAGTGTTTCTTTACGCCATTAACCACCTAACAAAAAAAGATTCTGTGACTAAATGAAAAAAAGATTCCAGAAGGAAAAAAAAATAAAGAAACTCTAAAGGCTGCATGTAGGAAAGGACCCACATTTCTGTCTGTCACACAGGATCCATGTATGAACATTAGACAATAAAATGCTTTCAGCTGAAACTCATAGGATTGTATGCTGAGCGAGGAGCTCTCTACGATAGCCAGAGGAGCTGGAAAGGAGTGAGAGAGGTGCTGGGTTTGGATGCGCTAGGAACATTCAGGCCTTGAACCCCTTTCTTGGCATGATTTTAGCCTTCAACTTTCTCTCTTCATAGAATTCATGAGACAGGGGTGGAATTTGATAGGATAACCTTGTAGTTCAACTTTGGTTCAGATCCAGCCCTTGTGAGAGAGACCCATCTCCACACCTCAGTTGTGGGATGCTCAAGTCTCCACTGATAAAATTGTTCCAGTTTCAAGAAAATATTTACATCAAGCCTAGGTTTATACCTCACCCAACTGTCCTAGGAATCAAAACAGAATCATTCGATGAGATACAAGAACAAGTACCCTTAAGAAGAAGAGTTTGAAGTCCTGTTTCTTACAGTCTAGAGGAATGCTTTAATGAGCAGGCTGCTGCGGAAAGCACCTTTCCCTCCACAGGCTTGAGAAAAGCCCACTTTGAGAGCCTCCACTTCATCAACAGAACAGGCAGAAGTCCCTTCTGTACCTCTAGGCACACCAGGCAGCAGACACATGGTGCCTCTTGGATTTGGTGACAGCTGGATGGGACACATAGGTATCTACAGCTGAGACTTGGGCACCTAAGGTGGGTCCCATTGTGCCAGAGCACTCCAGACCCTGTAGCACGGTTTGCTCCAATATTTCAGTATAAAACTGGGTGGGCAAGGGTGGAGCATAGGAGTGCAGATACAGTTATCAGCTTCTCAGTACACACTCCGTAACAGATTGCAGCAATCTAATCCTCTAGGAAAGATTCTGTTAAACCCTAAACCCAATACATACAAAAACATAGTGGCAGTAAACATGCCCACATACAGTAGTTAAAATATATTATTGCATATTATAAACACTATATACAAGGTTAAAATGGTTTCTTTACCATTTACTTACAAGTGACATTTGTAGCTGAATGCCTTACTTACAAGTCCTCATTGCTACGTGCTGAGAACTACCAGAGGTATTTGGCAAGACTATACACTATAGAGAGATCTGGATCAGTCTGAGCAAGTGAACTCTGCCAGCCACTTTCCCCATCTTTAGCACTGCACCAGTTTTTTAGCAATGACGGAGAGAACTACTGGTAAAGTGATTTACACCAGATTTCTGAAACTAGACCAGCATGGTTCCTTAACATGTTTTAGAATGAGCTTCTCCACACTAAAGTATGGATTAAAATGCTGCATTTCACATTTGCAGTGGGTCATTTGGTTACAAATCTGGTAACTGCTTGTACACTAGTGAGTGGGGAACAATAAATAAGGGACCAGGTTAACATGAGTGGCCTTGTGCTTGACAAACCCAAGTCTATATGCAGTGGGTGCACATGTGCAGAATAGACAGTATTTTCAAAGCAGTCTTGTAACAGTTTCTCTGATCAATGTCTGTCAAGTTCCCGGGGAATCTTCTGCTTTCCAAGAAGGATGAAATGCTGTGGTTCCTTACACAAAGGCTCTGCCTGAGGCTAGATCTCGGTCAGTGTGATCTTGAAGCCTTCAACCATGCTCTCCATGTGCAGGATGAACGTGTCCTCATTGGAGTAGTGCTCAATAATGTTGTCATCTATGTTTACCAAGATACTGGTGACAAAGGCAAAAATCAGTATTTTTATGTACCAGGACACTGAAAGGGAAAGCCATGCACTCCACTGCATGTGCTCGCTTCACTACAATGCAAAAAACAGACTCCAGCACATGCCAGTACAGGGACAATAGCGGGAATCATCAAGATCTGCCCCATAGTCCCTTATAGTCTTTGGATTAGAGGCTGCTCCTTGCCAAAGTAGTTAAGGTAAGAGACATGCCAGTGCTGGGATGTTAACCCACTTAAGCTGCCTACAAGGTGAACTGCACCCCAGATCCCTGGAAGACCCAGCTAGCTGGTGTTTCCCATGCCTGGTGTTGGCTCCCCCCGGTACACCTCCATGCTACTCCTCAGCCACGCCGTGTGAGCTGTTGCACCTCTGTGGTGTGAGTTGCTAACGTGGTGAAGCAGTGTAATTTGTGCTTTGCACACAGCTCACAGGCCTAGAACTCAGCATGGATGTGAGAATATCGACAACAACTATTAGAAGTGTATATGAGTGTTTTCCTCACTCTTTACTGTAAAGTGTTTCTTCCAACAAACTTACCACTTGGAAACAGTGTTAGAAAGAAGCAAAACATGAGAAGTTTCACCTGTCTTCTCAAAAGCTAAAGAAATCCCCAGACAAAACAATGCCCTAAGCTAGAGTTACAGCTGAAAATAAATGATTGATTTAAAATTATATCACTACAATATTGTGGTTATTTAGAAGTAAAAAAAGTTAAAGTGGAGAGATTTAGATTTATGGCAAGAAGTAGTAGCCTAGCTATTCTAAAATCACAGCTGTGATGCTCACGTCTAAATTTACTCAGCTGAAACCCCTGCAGCAAACATTGCCTGCCTGCCTTTCAGATTCGGACAGTGGCCTACTTCTTCCTAACACTGCCGGGAAACTCCACACTGCATTCACAGCAAAGGCTGCACCTCTCCCATGCTAGCGCTCCACGATGTTATTAAGCATATAGTCTACAAAACAGACTTCATCCAAATACATTTTCCAAACAGAAACTTTGTTTCGTCACAGTAAGCCTATGAATACTGGTCAGACACAGACTGGAGATTCACGTTTCCTCCTCTGCCACCCCTTGCTGTCTCCATAGACATTAAGATTTCAAGCGTATGGGCATGTCTCCTAAAAGTGTTTATACTGCCCAGCATCATGAGGCCCCAAGCATAGTTGGGATCTCTGAGTACTTCTAAAGGATCCTGCAATAGCCCCTAGTTAGTTAGTTTACTTACCCCTTTTTGCTCTTCTTATAAAGTTTTGCAATCTTTTCAACTGGCAGCCCATATTTCTCAGAGATCTGAAATCATAAAAATAAAAGAAATATCATTAAAGACTAATGAGAAATATTAAATTGTCACCTCTCACTTTACATAAGGCATTAAAACACTATCTCTGCAAACTTTGACAGGATAGCTATACAGAAAAGTCACTCGCAACCATACCATAGCTTCATTTAAGGATGATTCGGGGAGGAATAATCCTAAACATCTTGATCAAAAAACCACAGTCGTTTCCATCCAGAAACTTGGGAGACTATAGTTTTCATGGGGTATGAGTCATCAAAACTGCCTCAGCATCTCCTACTGCTCTTCTCAGGAGTCAACACTCTTCCCAGCTTCAGATTTTACCAGGGAATTTCAATCTGATCAGCCACCTTTCTGCCGTTTCTTATTCTGATTTTCTGGGCTCATGGAAACAAAGGCTTCTTCCACCGGGCAGAAGGCAGATGAGTAGCAATGCAACAGGAGCTGATGGATTGATGGATCAACAAAAAAAAAGCGCACATTTCTATTTCTCAATGGCATTTCAAGGTTTGTTAAGCTAACAGGACCCTCCATGGTACTTCTTTTGTCCAGAAAGTATCTTCAAGGTACCTTTTATTGTGGGAGGGCTACAAACATGCTACACACAGGATTAGGAAGCTTCTGTATTGTTGGGGAGGTGACTTACTCTAGTTACTAGGGTGGCAAAATGAGAACACTATTTGGCTCACAAAACATCATCTGAGTGTACAGATAACAAGATTAGATACTGCAAAGAAGTATGTTAACAAGGTAAAGGACTTCTAAACTAAACCTCTTGCCAGCTACTCAAATGATAAAGCAGAAAATATAGGAAAACTTTTGAAGAATGAACTTTCAGCTTCATCGGGGGCCCAACTTAAATGCCTCTATGCAAACACACGGAGCATGGGAAATAAACAAGAGGAGTTAGAGATGGGCGCACGCCTGCAGGGCTATGACCTTATTGGCATCACGGAGACATGGTGGGATGGCTCCTATGATTGGAGTGTTGGGATGGAGGGATACAGGCTCTTTTGGAAGGACAGGCAGGGGAGATGAGGAGGGGGTGTCACCCTTGTCGTGGTTTAACCTCAGTCGGCAACTGAGCACCACACAGCTGCTCACTCATTCCACCCCCCACCCCGGTGGGATGGGGGAGAGAATTGGAAGAGTAAAAGTGAGAAAACTCGTGGGTTGAGATAAAAACAGTTTAATAATTGAAACAGAATAAAATCTGAAGAAGGAAGAAAGACGAAAGAAGAAAGAAGAAAGACTATACAAAGCAAGTGATGCACAATGCAATTGCTCCCCACCCGCTGACCGATGCCCAGCCAGTCCCCGAGCAGCGGCCCCCACGGCCAGCTTTCCCCCCATTTATGTACTGAGCATGACGTCACACGGTATGGAATGTCCCTTTGGCCAGTTTGGCTGTGCCCCCTCCCAGCTTCTTGTGCACCTCCAGCCTTCTCAGTCAGTAGAGCATGGGAAGCTGAAAAGTCCTTGACTAGTGTAAGCACCGCTTAGCAA